AAATAAAAAATGACATGTAATATGCTGAAATAAAAAATTGCCAACCTAGAATTATAGAATGTAGTGAAACTATTCTTAAAAAGTGGAGATAGCCCTAGCTTATTTGGCTCAGTGGATAGAACGTCAGCCTGCAGAATGAAGGGTCCCAGGTTTGATTCCAGTCAAGGGCACGTACCTCGGTTGGAGGCTTGGTCCCTGGCCTGGGTCAGGAATGGACATGTCTCTCTCACATCGCTGTTTCTCTCTGTGTGTGTCCCTCCTTCCCTTACACTCTCTCTAAAAATCTATGGAAAAATATCCTCAGGTGAGGATTAACAAACAAACAAACAAAAAAGAAGTGGAGCTAAAATAAAGACATTTTCCATACAAACAAGTTGAGGTAATTCATTTTCAATAAACTAGCACCACAAGAAATAGTTAAGGAAGATTCCTTAGGCTGAAGGAAAATAATATTAGATACAAACTCAAATGTACACAAAAAATGAAGAGTACTAGAAACATTAAATGGATGAGTAAATATAAAAGATATTTCTCCTAATTTTAAGTATCTTTATAAGAAAATTAAACACAAAAAAACTTTCATTTTCAGCCAAGATATAATAGGGATTAGAATAATAGGGATTAGATTTACACTTTTTTTTTGTCTGAGAGAACAAAAAAAAAATACATGAAATAAGAGCTCATAGGTATTGATGATCAGGAATCAAGGTCAGTGATCTCTGAGAATCAGGAAAAAATGAACTGACCCCCCATCATTGCTCCAGCTTACTGCCTGATGAAAAACTTGACTGCACTGCAGGGAGAGAACCCAAGTAGAACATGGTGGTTCCCCAGAGTTACAGAGAAGGAGCTAGGAGCATAAGGAGGCCAAGGCAGCTAGAGTTCATAGGGCAGAGTGCTGGAGATGAGAGAGAATTCTGGAGATCTGCCGAAGGGGACCATTAAGTAATCACTTAAGTACTGATTAGCTCATGTGTGTAAAGAAACAACCCAATGCTGGGAAAAGAATCACTTAAAATAATTGGAGGAAATAGTCGTTGGTTCTCACACCAGGTTTAGGAATAGTGCCTCTTCCCACCAACTAAAGGAAAGCCTCATAATTTATGGAAAGCCATGGGTAGAGTACTCATAAAGATTTTGTCACAGTATTGGGGCAAAGTAAACCTAGATTAAATTATATGCTGGTGCTGCCTAACAATGCTTAACAGTAAGAATCAAAAGGATAAAGTTGTTAGCAAGTAACTTATCCACATCCCAGAACAAATAAGCCTTATTTTAGTAATTGAGTTTGTTGGCCTAGCTGTTGTGCCAAGAAGCCAGGAAAGGCCTTTAGTGGGTCTGCCTTTACATGGTGCAGAGCAGGGCAGATCTGGGACAGAACAGGATGGGAGTAGGCTTCCCCTGCCTTCCCTGGGGACTTCCTGCAGTGGCTCTCAGCCTCAGCACCACCACCCAGTGTAGGTAACTACTCCCTTTCGTGACTTTTCGGCAGATTGAGAAAGTCTCAGCTGCTGCTTAAAACAGCCCAGACGATTAGATGGGCAGCTCCAGCTGGTGTCCTGAGAGACTGAAATGCTACACCTTTTTTTCTTCTGATGAATTGATTTTTGACATACACTTCTGGAGTTACTCTAGTTTTTAAGAAAGTGTCCATTTGGGATGCCAAGAACCATTTGGGTACATCTGGGAGTTGTGTAATGCAGCTCCGGGCCAGGGACCACTCCAGGGCCCACTACAGTGGAAGGCTAGCTTCTGAGAAGCCCATCTACAGGCTCTATCTTCTGCTTCTCAACCAGCTTCTCCCTGAGCAAACTCAAGGAGTTCCTGGCCCACCCAGACAAGAAGGGGAGGGAGACTATCCAAAGATTATGCTGGTGGTCAACAAAAACAAACCTTCAGTGCATCTGACAATTGTCTCAGATTCTCTTACTTCACTTCTGTGTTTCATTTCAGGTTCCACCCCTTCAAAACTATGCTTTCCGAGTCTTGACTTGCAGAACTCTCTTGAACATGGTTTACCCTCGTTATCTTTTTCTTCCTACTTTTTGTTGCTTTAGATGACCCCAGCCAGATTCAGTCCTAAGTGGGCCCCTCTTTGGCTTCTTTGGCCCCTCTTTTAAGGCTTGTCAGGACTGGTCTACAGTGGGTGGTGAGGCAGAGTTGGTGAGCATATGCCAGGAGGGAGCAAATGTGTTTGCAAATGGGCAGGTGATGATGATGAGCTAAAAGAAATGCTACCATCACTTCCCATCTCTCCTGAGGTGGTGAGACTGGGCAGCTTCCATTCAAGGGACTTGAGGGCAACAGACTACCACAAGGACCAGTGGTCAGTTAAGGAATATGAGGACAGGGTATTCTGCAAGGATAATATAGGCAAATTTGTTTAGGACTGAATATCTGGTAGGTGTGTTAGAGGATCTTAAAGGCCAGTACTGGGAAGCACAGGGTAGCCCGGACATGACAGTAAAGACGAGAACTGATGATCAGAGAGTCTTGCCTTGAGGATGGACAGCAAAAGAAAACAGAATGAGAGGCTCGGCAGGACTGGCTGATACAGGCGGAGATGTCAGGTGACACCTGAGGCCTGAAGAGGCTGATGGCCCTGGTGAAGCTATCGCAGCAGTGGGCTATGTAATCTTGGAGGCCTCAGTCTCTGAGGGTCAGCACTGGAGATATTTAGTACAAGGTAAGACCAGTCTCCTAGGAGGTTTTTGCTGAAATCATTGGGAGAGGGTGTTGGGTAAGCCTCAGGACACTCGCCTTGTAATGGGTCCATCTTTACCGTGTACAGCCCAATGAAGAACGCTCCCCCATTGAAAAAAAGGAAGAGAAACAATTCAAGAGGACCAAAGCCGAGAGAAAATTTTCACCCTGCACATACTAGTATATATAGTAGAAAATGACTTCATCCAAGAAATGCAATATTTCAGCATTCGGTCATTTTACTGTTGGCAGAATAGAGGCTGGTGAATTGTCTGCAGTTACTTGTCTGAGCAAATGAGTCGAAGGTCTCTGAGGGACCTGGCCTCCATCTGTCACTTTTTGTATTTTAAAGAGAAATCAATGATGGGTGGACTGAGCCCGCTCATCCCTGGAGACAAAGCCCAAGTATTCATGTTCCAGTGTTTTGTTCTCAGGATTGTATGTCTAGAAGAGTTCAAGACCATTTGGCTTTGGAGTGATTTTCTAATCTTACCTACCAAAATTTTTCTTTTACCAATACTAGTAAAACTCCTTCAAGTAATAGTTTATACAAAACCACGCTGCATGAAACAGAAAAAACTTAGAGTTTTATTAGTATGTATTTATTTTATAACTTCACATTTATAACAGTTTACTTCACATATTGTCAATAAATAAAAACAGTGAGGGCATTTTCATGAGTACAAAACATGAAATCAGGATGCACTGGGTGATATCGTGCCACTGTGGTTGAACAGTATTGAAAAATATAACTTAGGCAAATGATCACACATGATCCCTTTTTTAAAAAATTCTTTTCTTACAATCACAAGATATTCTTCAGTTAAAATGATCCACAATCAGAAATTATAATGTTGTTTCAAAGTCAAATCACTAGGAATAGTCTAATTGGCTAGAATACTTTTCACAGAGTAACAGACACGAAGCACTCAAACTTACCATAAGAGCTAAAAGGGTTTCTAATGCAATGTTACCACTTTACTCACAGGTTACATATTTACTTGCTGTGCCACAACTGTTAGGACAATAAAGAGAGCATGCATTGAGCAGAAAAGCATCATGAAGATAATAATGTCTCCATATATTGAGGGCTTTCTATCCTCCAGACATCATGCTAAGTGCTTAAAAGGCATTATGTCATTTGATCTTAACATAACAGCCCTATTCCATTACCTTCTCATTTTTCTGATGAGGAAACTGATGTTCAGAGGATTTCAGCAAGTTTGTTGTACACAGAGCTACCATGCTGTGCTACATCAACTAGCATTTCACAGAATGGTGATCATCGCTCTACTAGCATACTCGACATCAAGGGCATGCATGGGCTTGATTTAAATACCCATGAGAAGCTACAGGTCCCTTAATCTATGAACATTAAGAAGAGTTGGGTGGTAGGGAGAGCTGTAGGAGGGTATAGGGAAGACAACTGTTGATGGATGAAGACTTGGGGTGGTAAACACAATACAGTGTGCAGATGATGTGTTGTGGAATTGTGCGCCTGAAACCTGTATACTTTTGTTAACCAGTGCTACCCCAATAAATTCAATAAAAAGGAAAAAAAGAGAGCGAAGTTCAGCTACATGCTCAGATAGTGCAAGGGAACTTTCTCTCCAACGCCTGAAAACAAAAGTGAGCCTGTTGCTGAATGCCTAGGTGCTAAAATGTGGATATCAACACACTTGCATCTGCCCACTATTTATTAGAGATTTAAAGGGTTTGAAATCCATTGTAAACATGGAGCTTCAGAGAGTTCTCAATTCCTGCCTCGGCTCCACCACTTGTTAGCAATTTGATATGGAGGAGACGGCTTACCATCTCGGAGCACTGGGTTGCTGCACACATTAAATGTGACATGCACACAACACCTGGCACGTAGGCCCTCGTAAGTGTGCGTTCCTTTCCCCTCTTTGCCTTCTGTCGGCACTAAAAATCTTCTCTAGCCAGAGAGGCCTGCTCGCTACTCCAGCATGCCCTCCTGCAACATCGCCCTTTCCTGAGGGCGCTCTCACACTGCGAACCTCTTGAAAGCAGGGATCAGGCAGAGTGTTGTGTCTTCCGGGCCTAACACAGTGCCTGGACCCGTCTACCTGACACCTGGCAGAGAGGTGGGAGGAGTGCTTCCCAAGAAAGGAGAGAATCCTGAAGGTGGAGATGGTTGTGTTCATTTGGCAACTGCACTACTACCGGCGTCATGAACTTATTTACACATAACGTTGTTCAGCTTCCACACGGGAGGCCTGTCCTGAGGAGCCTGTCGCTCTCTGAGAGCACGGCTGTGCCCTTAGGACTGTTACCTCCTTGAACAGAGCCTCTCACTGCTTCAGGGACACGGAATTTACTGATTCGATAAAGAAAATCACCCGACAGGTAAAAAAAAAAAAAGCCTAGGTTTTCAGGTAGGTTACAAAGGATACTTTTTTCTCATGTCAATTCTGCTTTCTATGGTATGGGCAAACTTTGTCTATTGGGGATATTTACAGGAAACGTGACATTTCCTTTAGATTACTATATCACATTTGGAATTTAATATTTTGTTTATTGGTAATCTATGTTAAGGTCCAAGAAACTCTCAGATAATTTTTTCTCAGAAAGAATCAAGACTTGGCTTGAATGCCTTGGTTTTAATCGCATTCACTAAAGAAAAGACCATGGAAAAGGTCTTAGCCTGGTAAAGCGAAGTCCCCGGGCCCACGGGCTGCAGGCTCACTCTGACTTAGCTTTTAGTTATCAATCTCCTTATGCCAGTGGCCATAGCCATCACCTTCATCTGACTCGTCAGTATTCTCATTTTCAAAAGCGGCCTCTTCCTCCTCCTCTTCCCGGATCACCTTCATTAACTCAAGGAAGCCGGGGGCCGGCCCCTGGTCTTTCAGCTCCCTAAGCCTGCACCACAGGGTCTCACTGAGGCTCGCCCCGGCCAGCACTTGCTCCAGGCGGACCTGGTCTGCGATATTCCTGGGGATGGCGCGTTTCTCCACGGCCTTGCGGAGCAGCGTCTCCAGCCGCAGCACGTAGGCGGAGATCTTCTCTCCTTCCTCCTGATAGGTCTTCAGGTATCTCACCTGGGAGGTCCGGCGGCTCTCCAGGCTCCCAAACACTTGCTTGAATGCCTCCAGACACTCGTCCACACTCACAGAAGGATTGTCTGCCTGCACTATGCGCAGGAGGTCCAGGGCGGGGCCGCGCAGGCTTTCCATCAGCCACCTTTTCTTTTCTGCCTCTGCTACCGGCCACTCTTTGACGATCTCAGTGGCCTGTTCCAACCAGATTTCAAAGGGCTCCTCCTCGGGGGCGGGCACAGCACTGCCCGAGAACACCCGCAGCTTCCGGTATCGCATGGGCAGCAGGGGCTGCGGGGCATGTGCTACTGCCTGCCCCACCACCTGGGCCAACAACTCTGGCGACACGCAGGGCACTGCGGCTGGAGACACGCCCTCATGCCCAAGGGCTCGGAACATACCCGAGACTGTCTGCCCCTCTTTTTCTAGAAAGAGGTGCAGCCTTTCAAGAAATTCAGCGTCCTGGTTAGGGGTCTTAAAGACCACCTTCCAGACGCCCCCCCTCCCCTGAACCTCACTGGGGATCTCCGAGACATCAGTGTCCCCCAGGAGCTCTAATAAGACGGCGCTGGCATTCTCCTGCTTCCTGAATATCTTGCCGAGCAGCCGGTACCGGCCCAGAGACTTTAACGTCTCCTGGAGAACCTCCTGGATCTCTGCCTCCTCACACTCCACTGGGATCCCCATCACCATCAGGGATTTCTGATCATCCACACTCATCAGCCGGCACCAGTCCTCCAACAGCGCCAGTGCCATCGTCACGGGTATCTATTGGCTCTAACTCTAGGGTACAATGAATTTGCAGTGCAGGTAGGCACTCCCTTAGGATTTCAAGTATCCTGGATAAACTCCCGAACCCACAACCCACCAGGGAAGGGGTTTCCGGTCAGGTCCCTCCAACAGCAGCCCGAAGTCTTCTGGACCAGTAACCCTTCCTTGCCCAGTTCCTGCTGAGGTGGCAGGAACTCAGCACTTCCCGTTATAGCTCTAGACCTGACCCAAGGTGGGTGGTTAGTGTCTCAGTTAGGACAGCGCCACTGCCAGTGGCTCTGTAGTTCCCCGGCTGCGGTGTCTCTCCAGATGCTAGCAGACTGTGGTGGTGTTGACCCTTCTCTGACCAACGGAGGCACGTGCGAGAGCTGCTTCACACTCTCCAGGTCTCTGTCGCCTCGCCTCTCTCTAGTCAGTGTGGAAACGCCTCCAGGCGGCACCCAGGACTCCTGGAGGGACGTTGCACAGCAGAGGGCCTGGACTCCTAGTGAAACAATGGTCAGTTACCACACAGCCCTCTCCTTCCCAGGAAGCACCCACACTCATTAGGGACAGAAGTGAGGGCAGACGGGGCTCTACCCCACATTGTATTGTGTCTACCCCATGGTCAGGTCTCTGCTGATAGTGACTTTTTCTCCCTCTTGGGGACCCTCCTGCAATCTGGCTTCCCCGCCATTCACTCATCAGACATGTCAATTAATGTCTGAGCCCAGTTGTGGCCAGGACTCCAGATCCTTCCCCCGTGAAGAATGAAGTCAGGAGATGGCCAGATACCTGTTTTTACATTCCAGAATGTTCTGTGAGAGTCACGAAGCTTGTTTATTCAGCTTCTAGCACAGGAAGATGTCACCCAGCTCTACACATTGTTCATGTCTGGGTCCTTCTTAGCTCCAGCCAAGCCAAGCTGTCCTGTTACACATAAATAGTAATGCTGTGTTTTCATTGCTCAATAATATCCAATAATAAAGACTGTTAATGCACTTACTAAAAATATGACAATCCTTCACAATGTAATTAAATCTACTAAACAATATAGTTACTTCACTTCTTTGATTAAAAAATACAATTAGAAATCACTCTAACATTTAAAACCAGTATCAGTATAATAATATAGCATATAATACACTTTAATATAATATAGACATAACAATTTAATATAGGCCTAATAATTTTTAAAAATCTCAGGGCCGAGCTTGGCCAGTGTGGCTCTGTGATTGAGTGTCGACCTATGAACCAGGAGGTCATGGTTCGATTCCCGGTCAGGACACATGCCTGGGTTGCAGTTTCGATCCCCAGTGGGGGCTGTGCAGGAGGCAGCCTATCAATGATTCTCACTCATCATTGATGCTTCTATCTCTCTCTCCCTCTCCCTTCCTTTCTCTGAAATCAATAAAAGCATATTTCAAAAAAATCTCAGGGCCGAATAAGTTAAACCTGGAATTATGAATTCATTCTCTTTTGTTATGTCTGGGCAGGCTTTGCAAATGCAAAAGGAGGTGTTACTTTGCTATGGATGTTAAGTTACTAACATGACACTTTCTTCGTAGCATTTGAACTTGAATGGGGGTCATTTGAAGAAAAAGGAAAAGAGAGGAAGGATATGGAGAACCAGTGGAGAATGGGTAATGTGAAAAGGGAAGAGTGCCTACCAACTCCACTTACTGCTGTGGGGTGGGTGTTGGGGCCCTGACCACTCCTCCCCAGGCCTGAAAACCTCCATCACGCCTCGAGGGCTTTATATGCCACAGTTGCCAACTTGTAACCATCGAGGCCGCTGCTCCTGCTGCGGGTACCTTTCCCCAGTCCCTTCTGGAGGGATCGGAAGGCATGGTGCAAGGAGGACAAAGAGAAGGATCACACCCTGGCCCAGCAACCCCAGGGATCTGAGTCCAGTGACTTCCCTAGGCCCTGCTAATGTACGAGGGTGACTTCCTCTTCATTGTAATACTTCAAGGACACATGAGATATAAAAAGGCATCCAATGCCCAGGAAGAAATATCTTCAAGGTGTACGTAGTAACTGCTTTCCTGAGGTTAGGATACTCTGGGTGGCTTCTTCCTCCAAAGGCAATCTCTCCCTGCAAGGCGACCTTCAAATACAAAGATGGCAACTGAACCATGGTCCTTGCTACACGGATTGAAATATTTGGTTAAGAAGAAAAGGGGAAATCTTGTATATTCTAACGTAAAGATAGAATTAGTTGGAAAAGGAACCAGACTTTCAGGTGGAAGATCCCCACTGGGCTTGTTGGATCATTGAATTAGATAGTGACCCTGGGCAAAGCGCCTCAATCTCTCTAAATCTCAGTCTCCTACCCTGGAAAACAGTGATGGTAAAGCACTCAGCGCATTCATCACACTCATCTTCCGGGGCTGCGGTGAGTAGGAAATGATGCCATTCGTGTGGAAGCACTTTATTCAAATGGAAAGCACATCTGGTTTGAAGTCCCAATGCCAGCTTCTGGGTCTCTCAGCCCTCACAGTATTCCTCTTTCCTCTTCCTCCCCTTCTCATCCGAAGACTCCTCTCCCTACACCCATCATGATGGGCTCAACCTAAAACTGTAACTGGCAGTCCTCCAAATTTAACTCCTTTCCCAACTGGGGGGTGGGGTGGGAGTATCCCCATTTAATCCTTCCAGGGGCACGGGCTGACGATGGGACAGAATCCCTGGTCCAGCGTGATGACCCTGCAGCAAACAGCCTCTTTTAACCCAAACCCATCCTAATTACTGAGCATGCCCAGACCTCCCTCTTGAGCCACCAAAGGATGGGCAACATCTCTGCACAATTTTGCCAGTGTAGAGAGGGGCGGGGCTGTAATCTACCAGATGGAGGAACTGGTATTGATACAGGGAAAGACGTGGGGATGCGAGTGAGAATCCACCCGGGACCGTGTTAGTGGCACAAATCCCTACACATCGTTGGCCTGCTTCGCCACACACAATGCACTCATCACAGCCCCCATCTCCTACCCCACTGGGCAGGCGCCCCGCACTTAGGTCTCCAGCACGCGGCTCTGGCGCAGTGCGCAACAGGGGTGGGGAAGGTCTGGCGCTTTAGGGATTGGGCTACAATTTGCGCCTTTTCATACCCGTTCAAAACACTCCCTTGCGCCTGTTTTGTGGCGCAGTTAGCGGTACGTGGCGCCCCCCCCCCCGCCCCCCACTGCCTGCACCCTCGCTCACTACATATCAGTTGTCGTGCTGGGCTGGAATTTGCAGACTGCATTCTTGGTTACACTCCCAAGGGCCCGCAGATCTATGTCTCTCTTTGTACTGGATGAACTAAGTGGGAACCCTCTCGTTTCAATCTCTGCTCCCAAAGCCTGTGGGTGGACTGAAGCTCTGGGGGCCCAGGCGTCGTACAGCCCCCACCTCTGCGAGGCCTGCGCCATCCCTTCTCCATCCTCAATGAGGCCCCTTCTTCTTTCCCCGGGTGTCCTGGCGCCAGCCAGTACGCCACCCTTTTCGCACCATCAGCTCACCCCCGGGTAAGGGGGCAGGGGCCCTCCCCGCCGTGGTCCTCGCCCCTGGCCCACCTCCGAAATGCGGTCGCGGGAG